GTTCACATAACAAACAGAAATAAAATTTCATGACATATCAAAAGAAAATATGCACCAGTCATATAAATGGGTCAGGCTCATAACTTGTGTCCCTTAAATTCGATAATTTATAAACTGTCCACACATGGTCAAATGTAGCAGGTTCTTTGATCATTAATAAACACTTCCCTTTTAAAATACTTTTGACAATAAAAACCTCAGCGCCAAAGACACATGTATCATTGATAAAGTATCCATTCAGAGGATCATAAATTTTTTTACACAATTTGAACAGAGCTGGTTTGAATTGAAATATAGTAAAATAGCAACACAAATGCTTAAAGGGGAAAAAGTTTCCAAGTTCAACATATAAAGAGGGGTGTTAACAACAATTGCGAGTGCAAAAGTTGCTCAACTTCCTTTTGACATATGTCTCATTGCACAAAAATTATATCAAATTACAACGGAAGATGCATTAAGTGAAAGGTCAAAGCCCTCACGAGGGGCATTATCACCTGTCTTGTATAGACATACAATGTTATTGATCCAAATTTTCATTTGAAGTCTAAACAATTAGAGATCTTTTACTTCTTATATGATATGAACATATAAATGATGGTTATAGGTCATTAAATAACAATGCTCTCTTTCTCAACTCTCAAATTGTGGTTTTAAGAGTTGAGAACGATATTTTCAAAACCCATCAATCGATGAATCACAAATTCGTACCATAAAGCCTAATATCCCCACGATTAACAAAGAAAAAAAAATTAAAAAAATTACTTTTAAGTAAATCATTTCATAATCTACTATTAATCATGTGACAATTTGGTAGAAAATAAGATCCAACGTGGCATAATGTAATTGGTGGTAAAAGATGTTACAATGATCTTCCCCACATTAGATTAGCCTTATATAAGACTCACTTCTACTCTTTTCACTGAGAGTTGAAACACTGTATCTTTGGTTCACCACTTGGACTTGAAAGCTCTCCGCCTTGTCGCCGGTCACTGATCTTGTCGGCGCTTTATTACTGTCTGGCCTTCATTCTCTTCGATTAGTAATTTATTTTAATATTTCACTAATTTTATGTCATTTCTGATCAAAATTTGAACTCGTAGGTTTAAGTTAAACTTTATTTGATAATTACATTATGCATTATAGTAACAATTCTGATGGACTAGCATTTTGTAATGTTTATATATGGATATTTGATTTGAAAGTTTCCGAGAATTAAAAAAATAATAATAATTCTGAATTGGACTAGCATTTTGTTCTAAGTTTCAGGTCTTATCTCGAGTTTGTAATTGATTTCTATAAGATTCATTGTTCAGATACTTGCTTATACTTTTTGGAGTTTGATAATGATTTTCAGAGTGATTGATTTTTGGTTTTTTGATGTACCATTTCATCCAATTTAGCCATGTTTGAGTTTACATGTAAGGTTTTGTTCATGGTTTCTGATGCATGATTTTGGTCAGTTATGTAGTGAAGTTTTACTGAAACTTGGACTATTTTTGTTTGACTTCAGAGCAACTCCTGCTGTGTGGCTGTTTTAGCTGGACACGATGGACCAGGTACAGGGGAAAAAGCAGTTATTGTTTAGGTTATAGTTGTGGCTGTTTTGTAATCTATGTCTTATCTTGAACTGATTGTAATGTTGCTGAATTGCTAGTATGAGAAAGTTGAGAAGATTGGTGAAGGAACTTATGGTGTTGTGTACAAAGCTCGTGATCTCATCACCAATGAAACAATAGCCTTGAATTAAATCCGTTTAGAGCAGGAGGATGAGGTGTGCCTACTCATATAGTTGATTGTATGTATTCTCACTCATTACGGGATGTGAAATAATACATGGTGACCCTAAATTTTGCTTTGTTTCATAGCAGACGAAAAGAAATGGGTAGCCCTATATAAGACAAACTTGACTTTTAATTGGTGGTTTTTTAGTCACAAGTTGCAGGATGTAGTAGACAGTGAGAATCGTTTTTATATAGTTTTTGAGTATCTAGACTTGGATTTGAAGAAGCACATGGATTCATGCCCAGATTTTGCAGAGGACCCACGTTTAGTAAAAGTAAGTGATACAACTGTGCTATCTGGTCTATCCCTCCCAAAAAAAGGGAAAGAAAAGAAGAGTAAAAGAGAGTAAATTGTGTTCTCTGGAGTTCCATGTATTTTCTGCTTGAGGATTTGAGGTATTTCATCAGTAGGTTGGGAATTTGAACTAGCTAATTCAGAATATCCTAATGCTTTAAGGAATTTAATTAGTTAATAGTGCTTTTGATTTGTTATTTTCTTATGAATGTAAGTTCTACATATTATCCACAAAAGTTGTGCCCTCTATCTAGAAGAGGCCATGAATTTACCAGTTACATATACTTGTTCATTTTATTTTCTCTGTTCATAATTTTCAAGTTTATCAAGAAGAATTACAATGCTGTAGGATTAGATGTATACTGACCTATATTATCTCTTCCCAATAATTATCCTATATGTGTTATCACGGTTAGCAGTCCCTTATCTACTGGCTAGCCCACAATGATGGCTCTTAATTTACCTTGCCTGTACTATTAAAACGATTACCACAATAATATTGATTATATGTCATCACTGCAGACGTTCCTTTATCAAATTCTCCGTGGCATTGCATATTGCCATTCTCACAGGGTTCTTCATTGAGATTTGAAACCACAAAATTTGCTGATAGATCGTTGTACAAATGCATTAAAGCTTGCAGATTTTGGGCTGGTCAGAGCATTTGGTATACTTGTTAGGACATTTACACATGAGGTATCAATTAGCACTAGCTCTGTGTTTTAGTGGTAATTATGTCTTTTTGTTGTTTTATAGTGAGTAGGGATGTGCAAAAGAACCGGTCAGAACCGAAACTAGCAGTTACCTGGGGTTCCAGGTCTGGTTCCTACCCGAAACTAGCCCTCACAAGGTCGGTTTTGGTTCCTTATTGAGCAGACTGGGGTTAGATTAATTAATATTGACCAGTATCATCAAAAATCAAAATAAACATCTTAGATCAGCTATAGAATAATTAATATTAGCCAGTATCATCAAAAATAAAAATAAACATCTCAGATCAGTTATGGAATAATTTTTTCCTTCCTGCTATTTTTTTTAAAAGCCGGCACTGATCTTCTTTTGATAAATGCGAAAAAGAAGGAGAAGAAGGTTCTGTAATCAAATAACCCTAGATTCGCCACGGGTCAGCTAGCCTCCTCTGCAGGTAGCCATAGCCACCACAAAGCATCCCAAACCAACACCAACCCAAAAAGCAAACCCTCTTACGAGAACGCTGTATTTCAAGAAAAAAAAACCAAGTATTGTACACACGAACACACACACACACAAGTATCCAAGAAAAAAGAGAAAATGATTAATGCAGCTTGGTGTACACAGACACATACACACAGACGCTATTCTACTGGCAATCTAAAGCTTGTTGTGCTCAGCTCCATCCAACACAAAAAAACTTAACCGAACAATCGAGAAAGCTATTTTGGTAGTATTCAAATTATTGCTTTCTAATTGAAGCCCTTAAACTTATTACAAAAATTACCCTCTTATGTTTTCAAAATCATGTTTAAAGAAAATAAAAGAAAATGAATATTTGAATATTTTGCTATTACAAACCTAAACAATAAGACATTATTAATTTGTTGCAGAACAACTAAGTAGGTGAGCGGGAGGGGGAGAGGGCGAGACACTAGCTTTTGTGTCAAAAAGCGCTAGGGACAGGTATTTTAGAAGCCACCAAAGTGTGCATCATGAAGTCCCAAAGGACCACCAACCAATTCAGTGTAATAGTAAAATTTGATAACTAGTAGGCAGATTTAATTTACTTGCAGAAGTAAAATGTGACTTGGCTCATTAGAAGTAGCATAATTTAAAAGAAGAAAATGCCAGAAAATGGGTTTACCATCAATTCGGTGAACCAATGCCTTCAGCTTAAATAAACACAAGCCTCTGGATTCCTGGTTGAGCAAATGTGTGATGATCTTGCATACCATCAAGCAATTTTGATAGGGACCAATAGCAATCAGCCTCTATTTCAGATATTTTTTTCTGGTGGTAGATCTAAGATCGACGAATTATCCGCACTCCCTCCCAAATATTCCGAAATGAAAACAACAAGAGAGGGGGTAACAAGATCATTTATCCCCTGAACATACCTACTTGCAGGATGCCGAAAGCCTTGGAAAGAAACTAGAATTTGCACACATGACAAAAAGTTCTGATCTGCCAATAAAATGGTGCAAGGACACAGCAAGTGAAAAAAAATTTCCCACTAAATTATTCAGAATTAGAATTACCAATAACAAAAATTAGGAAGGCTATTAAGGAAATAGTAGGATAAACTACTGGCAAATAAGAATTGTAATGTGTATAATCTGGAAATTAAGCAGAATTATGGAAGGAGTTCTCAGGTCACTGTAATATATTGCATAACTAACAACTGCATAGAAAGGTGATCCATCTAGCAGTAGTTAGATGACAAATAAGAACAAGAACCATGTTTAGTTAGTCTAATAGTTGTCTCTACAAAACTTTTAAGTTTAATTTGCTCATCCTAAATTCAATGCCGAATTTGATTTTAGAAAAGTAGAACACCTATCAATTCTGGGTCATGCGCTTGCCACAACTGCTAGATTTTACATGAGCTGTTTTTAAAGTAGTTGTGGAGAGAAAACATACCACAGCTCCAATACATAATACTGCATGATATTTTCAAGACTTCCCCAGCCTTTCTGCAACAATACCGATTTCAAAACTACCAGGAACCCATACAATCTGAAGATTTTTCACAGTAAAGACTATAAATGAAAAGATACCTAAGATCACAAACCAAGTTTATAATCACACAAGAAATGCAAGCACGAAAGTATGTCTACGCAATGTATCAATCCAGAACACCCACTAATGGTTTAAAAAAACTGAAATAAAAGAGTATATGAAAAACAAATGAGGCAAAAATATAGTAAACCCATTAGAGCCACATACTCCCCTAAATATATACAATATATTTACTGTTAATAATAAATCTCTCTCAAAATTTGATGGAAGTTCTCCAAATTTCATCAAATTCCTCCCCATTTGGAAGAAGTTCTAGTATGTTTTCCAAATTACAAGTTACCATACAAAAGTAAACTTGGAATCGAGTGAATCAATTACAGTTATAATCTTAAAAAGAATTAGCTACATACATCAATATCTTCTTCTTTAACTGAATATTTTCTGAAAGTCTCCAAAGCTCCCTACAACAATGGCTTCGTCACAATCTCATTAAACCGCGCCACAACCTTAACAATTCACAAATACGAAAACAACCCAAATCCAAACCACCTTAAAAAAAAATTAAAAAATAAAAAAAAAAAAAAAAAAATCTTGACAACAAATGTTAAATTTCTCCAAAACCGCACCAGAGCAAAGCGGAGCCCCTCACTTCTAGTCAACGATCCAGTCAATTCTCTCACGGCTGCCGTTTCAACAACCGAGAAACGGTCCTTCCTCTCAAAAGCTACCTCGGTTCCAATTGCGAAGCCTGAAACTCAGTGAAACAAGTCAGTGAAAAAAGCCTTGACCCAGAAAGTCAAAAGGAGAAAAAAATGAAGAGAAGTGAAACCTGGGAGAGAAGGAGAGTGTGGGAAGGAGATTGAAGAGGATTTTTGTAAGCGAAAAACAAGCCTTGACCCATGAAGGTATTGAGGAGATGAAGCCAAAGATGGAGAGTGTTGGATTGGAGTCTTGAGATTCAAAGCCGTTTTTGTTGAAGTTTGAGAGGGAGGGAGAGAGTGATGAGTTTGATAAAGTATTTTTGAGTGAGAATTGAATTGATAATAGGTAGAACGACATATTCCCACCCAAGGTTTGGCGAAAACGACACTTCCCATCCATTAAGTTTGAAAACGAGACTTCCCACCCACCATTATGTTTGGTTAGGAAAATATGTTCGGTAACATGTCTAAATAGTGTAAAGACAAAACTACCCTTCTCTTTTTTCTTCTTTCTCCTTCGCCAAAAATGCTACCGATTTGCACCTGAACAGGTGAAACTAAAAGACACAAGACCCCTGGAAGCCTAACTTGGCTTTAGGTTCACTAGATTGTGTTACAATATTAACTTTGCAACAAAAAACTAATTTTAAAAACAAATCATCATCTTCAAAGCTGCAAATGGTTTCAAAATATCTATGTTAAAATGAGTTTAGAAGCTTGAACATAGAACTGGATTTTAAAAAATATGAAGCAAAAGTTTCATGTAAACAAATGACATTATGTTTTCCACAAGTTTTTCTGATCAAGATGGAGCTCTTCGATCATTCTCAAACTAAAAATTTCAAGCAAAAGTTCTCTACTAAAAAACTACACTAAAATTAGAAAGGGAGATAAAAAGGCAAAAATACCTTGGAACTCCTAATTGTTTCTTCCCCTTCTTGCTCCCACGGTCTGTCTCCCCTCCCCTTATCATTCCAGAGAGTATATTTGCTTGCTTTGTGTTCCCTTCCCGTTTAAGGCTAGCAATCAAATCCTCACAACTCTTCCAATCAATGGCTCCTCCTTTCGCCCGAATTTCAAACAATAAAGAATATGCATTGAGAGTCTTCCCTACTACTAAGAGAGCATCCAACATCTTCTCATAGCTTTAAAAGTCTACAATGCAGCCTCTCTCCACACAACAATACAACAACTTTAGAGCAACAACAGTTTTCCCTTTCTAAGACATAATAGATAGAAGACTACTAAAATTGGGTGCACAACTATATGACCCAAAAATCGTATTGGACCTGACGAGGTCCAACAAAAAAATGAACATGTCATGGCCCAAGGATTTAGCCTAATTCCGATTGGGCCTACGTTTAGACCTACCTTGTCAACTACTCGCTCTATGAGTTGAACTATCTTACAAGTTAAGCTGAACTGGGTCCAGCCTATTAGCTCACAACAGTCCATAATAAAGATCATAATCCCACTCAACTTCCACTTCTGTTAAGATCCTGAATCTTATCCAAAGTGGAAAGTCTAAACCGATAAAGGCAAGAGATCCAATCTCCTTCCCAAATTGAAACTCCTCTACTAAGCATGACTCAGAGTCCTACTAGGATTCCAATCCTTTAGGTTCACTATATAAGCATAAGCAAACTCTCTCATTATTCATTCAAAAATCACCCTTTAGCTCTCATATTCTCGCTCTCAAACCACCGCATTATTCCAGCGTTACCCAAGCCTCTACAACCTTCATTGCTCTCTGCAAGTCCACCAGATTGTTAATGGCTCGCTTCACAAGATTCAATCCTCACAATTGTAACCGTAAATTTTACCATCTACAATTTGGCACCCACCGTGGGGCCTTGACAGTCATTCAATTCAGAATGACCTGCTCATTACGTTCCTTCCCTTTCATCCGACCATCATGACCAACAACACTGAAACCCCAGCGCCTAATGTCGTAGCTCAAATCATGGTCCTTACCACGCTAGTGTAAGAGAGCAACGACAAATACCAAGCCTTGGAAGCTCAAAACACCACCATCTGCATAGAGAATCAAGCTCTCCAAGATAAGGTAACCCAATTCTACTATTTGGATTGGTCTTTGAATCAACATCGTGCATCTTCTTCTCGGCTCTCTATCCATCCCCGACAAATACTCACCACCCCAGATCATGGAACCCTCATAGAACACTCCTTGCCCGACACAACTCTAACCACTGCAATGCCCTTGGCTGAGCTGAACCGTGCCAACAACACCCAACCCATAAACCCTACAGTTGCTGAAACACTTTCTTAGACTACCCCGTTCCAACAAGTACCAAACAGTCATCTTACACTCCCACAAACAAACCCTATTCATCCAATTGCTGATGCCACCCACAGCTCGGCTCGGGTTGGCTTGGCTCCACCATACACATCAATCCCAATGTATTCCCCAATTGAGAGATTTTGTGGATTTGGATATTTATTGAGAGAGATTTAAGAAATATGTTGGGCAAGTAAATAATGGAAGGGTAATAGTTTTTAATTAAAAAAATATTTAAAAATAAAAATAAAAATAAAGACGATAGTGAAAAAAACCTAGTAAAACCCTCTAAAAAAATAAATCATTGTTAAATTGCCGCTTTCCACCTTTAGGCTTAATCTCCACTGTTTTATTATTTTTGTTGAAATCCTTATAGTATCGCTAACTTTCTAATGTTTCTTGAAGAAAGGAAGTTTTTAAAATCCCTTTGGTTTTTTGCTCCATTTTTATTCTATTTGAAGAGAATTGTTTCGAGATTTTTCTATGTCGTCCATGATGAACTTTCCTTTAACGAAGGGAAATTATAATGGTCGAACACCCTAAACTGAAAATGATTTAGTCTTTCATTTCTAGGATATCATGTTACATTTCAATAAAATCCATATGGGACATTGCTTATTCATGTAATGTTAAAACATTTTAATTATTCGAACTTTTACTTTTACGTTTATGATTGTGAAAATTCTTATACTTGAATCACAATAATTTTTATTTCACTGAAGAGGAAAGTGATCTAGTTTCAAAATGAGGATGGCACATTGTCATTGTATTTGTGGGGTTTATTTTTTTCCTCTTTTTTCTTTGGTGGTTTCTGGTTGAAGTAATTTAAACTACTAATTGATTGATGATTTTTCCAAGTGTGTGTAATTTAGATGTTTCACAAATTACTAATAATCCCCCATTGGTTTGAGCAATTGAGCCCTAGCTTCTATTCTGTTAAAATGGGGAAATTACTTTTGACCCTTCAAATTCTAGTGAAAAAATATTGTCAATCAAAATTAAATCCAAAACTTGAGTCATAATCTGAGGTATTAACACCTGAAAATTAAAAATGATGTTATTTAGCTTCCCCTTTTTTTCTTATTTGACCTCATTTTTTAATATGTCCCATTAAAATTTTAAGCATTTATAAATAAACCGTAGTTAATTTCAAAATAAGTCTTTATTATTGTTTTTGCTTCCACGTAGATATATATTTTTGCTACCATTAGTCGGTTCGCATAGAAAAACAAAAAGTCAAACTAAATTAAATCCAAATGAAACCAAAATTCATAACTAAGAATAATCTGCACACCACTGGTCTCCATGTCCTTTAATCTATAGCTTCCAAAAGGTTCATTTTAGCAACCTTATCTCCTTAAACACCCTCTCTGAGGAGTGAGCCTTAAACACCCTCTATAAGGAGTAAGCCATCACCGATTCACCGCCAGTGACAGAGATACATTCATGGTTAGGGTGGCCATGGGCCCATGGCCACATTAGGCCCACAAAATTTTTTAGACTGTGTTTGATAGAGTATTTGAGATAGTATTTTTGAAAAAATTGAGTTGATTGTTATTACGAAAATAAGATTTGAATTTGAAAATGTGTTTGGTAAATTTTTAGAAAAAAATTTCTGAAAATATTAGGTTATTTTTTAATCTCTTACATTTGTTAATTTAATTAAACACCTTCTACAAAAAAAGTTTTAAAATTAACAAAAACACCCCTACTCACACATTAAATGCCGACAGCAGGCCATCATAGCTTGACAGTGGTAGAAAGTCGTCGGAATGACATACAACCAGTTGGATCTTACTGGTAGTGTACCGATCTGGCATTTTTGGGCCAAATCCATCATGGGTGTGATCAGAAACGACCATATTTATGATTAAAGATTTGACTGTTGACGACATCCATATCTTGGCGGTTGTTTGGCCACCCCAGTTTTTTAACATCACACTTTGGCCCCATATATATGTAATTTTTTCATTTGTCTAACCCCATTATTCATAGAACATTACTGTTGCCGCCCCCCTCACCCCCACAGAAAACATTTTCTAGCTCCTCCCTGAACGGCTCCACCACATGCAATTTACTTTCTTTTCAATCATCTATCCCTTGTTGTTATCTCCGTGATTCAATCACCACTAACCGTGACATAAGATGTAACAATTGGCATTGAAGGCGCGAACTCAAAACCTGATGGTGGGGTGTGACGACTTGACGACTTGGACCCAGCATGTCACAAATCATATTATTAATACTTATATAGTTGGAGTCGTCACGTAACATATATATTATTAGTTAAATAAAAAAATTATCCATGAAAAGGAAGGGTAGGTTTTGCTGGAGAACAGGAGCCGTGTCAGTAAGTTTTTAGTAGTGGCTAAGGATGGAAGAAGTCACAGAAGAACGATTTGGCAGCTGAGGGCAATAAATTGTGGAATGCTAGCAACATCATCTTAAAACTTTTAAGTTGAAGTTGCAAGCATTCCATTATTTCATAAAAGAGCAGAGAGAAGCTGTAGGAAGACCTGCTTACTATATTAAGCAAGCCGTCCATCTAATTTACTGAAGATCTTCTCCAAATATATGACAAATTTTATCGGAAATTGTTTATAACATATTTCAAAATTGAGCATTATTTTAAAATCTTTAACAATGTCGTTATTTTTTTTGAAAAATAAAACTTTTGTCAAACTACATGATTACAAAAAATAAAATTAATAGTCAAATTCCAAAGATGAGTTTACTAGCTAGAGTAAGCACATGCAACGCAAAAATACGTTTTATTCAAAACATAATTATCTCAAATTACACAATCTGCCGTTCCCCAATCAATCTCAAAACACAAGTACAATACAAACAACTAGCTTGACACTTAGTTGGCATAAATCACCTATTCTTGCTTTAAACATTATGCGATTCAAGATGCTTCAGGAAATTATCCACGTACTGATCCTGTCTATCCCTGTCCCCAAACAAACCTCCCATCTCCGTTTCCTCCCCAGCATCATCTGCCGTGGTGGGGAGTTGGCCGACCGGAATAACAGGTTTC